AGGGAATTGCCCCCCTCTACCTACGAACCCCGAGATCAGATCCCGGACCTCGACCCCCCCGACTATTTTTCGTCTTTAACTCGTATCATTGCAAAACGTGCCTCGTGCCCGCTGACCCCAATTGACCAGTCCTGCAGGTCCCGTGCGTCCACGTTGAGGGTTTACACGCTGAACGTGCAGACCGCTCCTCTTATCTAACTGGGTCATGCATGAACAAATCAGATGAGGGGCAGTTCGGACTCGGACTCCGGAGAGCAAAAGGGGTTCAGTTGAAAGAGGGGGGGGGGGCTTGTAAAATACATACAGAATGCTTGCCAAGGTGAAAAGTGTATGAATATAATTATGTGATGTACACCTTTTGTGTATGGACTCTACTTAAGGTCCTATGATAATGAATTGCCGTCAAAATAAAGTATGCTTTATTTTTTTTTAGTTTTATCTTATATGCTTGCTTTTTCCTTCTTTTTCTTTTGTCCCCGCTTCTTTTTGTCTAATAGGAGGGATCGAGATAGAAGGATTTTAGATCTGATTCTTGTGGCTATGTACGTGGCGGTGCATGTTTATAGGATTTTCAGAGATGAGCTAGTTACGTGGTAGTATGTTGTATAACAATTTTAGGGAGTCAACAAGACAGGGTATGGTTGTTCTGGCCAAGGCATATAGCCTAAGTAAGGGCTATTTGCCTAAAACATGCTACTCATTGGTGGGAATGTATGCATTGGGGCTCCATTTGAAAGTTCCTATAGACATACGGTGAGCTTTGCTATCTCCTGCATCTGTCAAATCAGAGTCAAATCATTGAAGTGAGATAGATGGCTATCTCTTACAGTTTCACAGCGTAAACACCTATAGCATCCATGGATGTGAACTGAATTAGTCAACTATGTTATATGCATTTCGTACCACCTAGCAACGAAGCTATTCCTACCCTCCTTTACCCCTCCACAATATACGATTCTAAGCCCAACTAGTGCCCACCAGAACGTTCTGTAATCAAAAAGTACTAACATTGGACACGTTGAGATCCACCAAGATCAGCGTCAGAGTTTTCTCTTTCCTATGATGTAGTACTCGACACCTGAGGCCAAACCCCCACCATCCGTTGCCCGGACACTTGGGTACACAGAGATACTTGGGTTCTCCGCTGTAGTACCATGGAACAAGAAGTACCTTCAAGTATCGTCTTGTAGCTTTCCTTAGCTCTTCATCTGATGCGCGCATAGCTTTTTTTTTTTTTTTTTTTCTGTCCCGTCCCTGAATTGTTTTCTCCCCTCTTGATCTTTCCCTCCTCCATCTCTCTTCTATAACACTCAATTTTGCGTGTTTGTTCTATTTACCTTACGACCCATCTTCACGAATAAACATTATGTCTAACGATCAGTCCCTCCTTGACCGCGTCGAGATGCCTAGCATCCCTGAGGCGGCCATGAAGAAAATTGCTATTTTGGAAGAGCAGTTCTCTCGTGCTGAGGTTGAACAGTGTATGTTGATGATTTCCTAGCTCTCTCTTTCTCTTTTGTTATGGCGGGGCTGGTAAATCAGCTTGCAGGGTATACTCTACCATGGGGATAAGACAACGGCATTGAGAAGTGTAGAGTCATTGATGAACAAATTGCTAACATACACACTCTACAGTGCGCCACTCTGCCAAGCTCATGGCCCCCCTGATCAAGAAGCGCAGCGAGATCATCAACATCCCCGATGTGCAGGCTGAGTTCTGGATGCGCGTGTTCGCCAGTGCTCCCCCCGAGATCGACGAGTACATTCTGTCCAGCGACGCCCAAGTTCTCGGTGAGAGCCTCAAGAACATGAACGTTGAGCGATTCGAGCTTGATGCCCAAGGCAACGGCGAGCCCCGCAGCTTGCGCTTCACCTTTGAGTTCAAGACCGGTGAGGAGAACCCCTTCTTCACCAACGATAAGCTCGTCAAGGAGTTCTACTGGCGCCAAGAGGTCTCCAAGAACGCCGCTGGCAAGTCCCGCACCTGGGAGGGTCTTGTTTCCGAGCCCGTTCGCATCAACTGGAAGAAGGATATGGATTTGACCAAGGGCATGCTCGATGCTGCCTGTGACCTTGCTGAGGCCGAGAAGAAGAAGGGTGGTGACCGTAAGAAGTTGCCCGAGTTCGCTGCTCTTGTTAAGAAGGTCGAAGAGGCCCAGGCTGAGGCCGATGCCGAGGATGACGAGGATGATGAGGACCCCAGCCCCGTTGGCATGAGCTTCTTCGGATTCTTCGGTTACCGTGGCCGTGACGTCTCTGCTGCTCAGTCCAAGGAGGCCGCTAAGGAGATCGAGGCCCGCTGGGCCAAGATCCAGAAGGGCGAGGATGTTGAGGATGCTGGTGACTCCGAGGATGAGGATGAGGAGGATGAGGAGGAGGGTCTTGAGGAAATCGATATCTTCCCCGATGGAGATGACCTTGCTGTTGCCATTGCCGAGGACCTCTGGCCCGAAGCGCTGAGCTACTACGGTATGTCGATCCCGGATAGCGAGTGAGATGTTTCCCCCCACTAACTTCACCCGCAGTTCAATCCTTCCAGATCGGCGAGGAGCTCGAAGATATGGACCTCGACATGGAGGAGATGGACGGAGATGACTCCGATGAAGAAAGTGAGTCGCGTCCGCGCAAGAAGGCTCGCAACTAACCCATTTGCACCCGAAACGCCATGACCCTCCCCTTTTGATGATTTTTTTTTGCTTTTACCTAACCCCTTGATTTTGTATTATCACAGTGCAATGAGGAGGATTAATAATAAGACGAGGACGAATATGAGTGCCGCGATACAAAACGAGGACCATGTATCTAGTCGGAAAAGTTAGTTTGAACTTGAGATTCCCATACCCATACCAAACCATCCATGCATCCCAGTAGAGACCCAGCATAGACGGAGTAAACAGTACCAAGAAAAAGGAAGGAGATAACTTACCCTCATTCTTGCGCACAATATGTTTGATACGCGACATCCCATTCGACAACTTGCCCCCAACCCGATCAGCCAGCGTATCAACCTCATCAATCATGACAGCCTGATCCTCCAACTCACGACCCATATCATCAGCCTGTTGACGGAGGTTTCCAACAGTACGAAAAACACCATCAAGCTGCTCATCCTGCTCATGCATAAGCTCAGACTGGCGTTGTTGCTCCATAGAAGCATAATAATCATCCCCGCCACGACCGCGCTCCTCCTCTTCAAGCGCAGCATCAAACTCCGTAGGATTGGGCAACGTCTCGACAGCGGATTCGGAAACAGCCTGCTGTAGCTCTTGGTGCATTTTCTCGACTTCATCACCAACATCGTCGACGAGCTTGCGCCGCCGCTGCACCTCCTCTAGTTCCAGTCCATAGCGGTAGGGGTCTTGTTCGATTGCGCGCACGCTTTCGACAAGGTCGTTGACGTCCGCTGTTAGCTCGGTTAAGGTGCTTTCGAGCTCCGAGCGCGCTTGCTTCAGTTCTGGGTTGTTGGGGCTTTTGGCTAGCGACCGGATGCGGAGGTATGAGGAGAACAGTGGTCGGCTGGTTTGTAGTGTTGAGACAACGTCACTGGGAGCTTGGTGGTTAGTTGGGGACTTGTATTTTGGGGGATGCGGTAGGGCTCACGCTTGGACTTGTAGGAATGGGTCTGCGTGCTCCATGGTTGTGGTATTGGGGTATTGGGTGTGTTGTTGATAGTTCTCGGCCCCGGGTTCGTCCACGGGTGAGCCTGGAGCGGAGGCGGGTGGTGCTGACTAACATGTAGGGTGGGCCTTTGGAACAACTGCGCAGTTCTGGCCTGGAAAAACAGGGTTGCCGGGAATCAACTCAACCTTCGGTTGATGACACTGCAATTTAAGGATTTGTACATTTCGATGGGAAAAATGTAACGTCATTATACCTGTCTTTGAAGAAAACACTATGCGATATCTTGTTCGTCTTTTTCTATGGGTGTTCTGTGTCTCCTTCCCCTTCAGAGTGCTAAGGAGCTATATGCGAAAGGGTAATCCCAATGGCACAGATGCCCAAACTTAATAGGGATAGTAGTCCTTATCAGTCCATTTTCAATAAAATTGCTATTTATTATGGTATCGCCATACTAAAAAAATACTGCACCTTAACCACATTAGCTATATTGGATCTGCTCCGGGATCTGCTCTGCTCGGCCTCATATTAATTAATGCTTTCATCTTATACCTCAATTCAAATCACATGGCCTATATAGGGCTGATTTGCTAGGGTCAACTGAGTATCCCATAATGGAAACTCTGCACATCAATTATCGTCTATGAATTCTGATCTCCTATAGTAAAAGTTTCATTTTTTTACTCTATTTTTATACGCCGTTTGGGCACACAATATATCTTTAACTAAATATGTCTTGTTGAACTAACGAAGGGCTTATGTGACTTGGTAATAAGTACTTATTATATAAAGCAAGTAGTCTTCTGTATTGGGCCTTAACAACCTGTAGTACCTGGGCAATTCTGGTACTAGGGTGTGGTGCTACGGGGTACTACACCTATTAATCTGGCAAGAAGCAGTAGTAGAGAGGGATGTATGATCTATAATAAGAGATATTTCTAAACATATAAAATAAAGGGCTCAGAAGGAGCGATCCGAAACAGCGAAACATTGAGGGCTTTGTGTTGTGGTGGCCTTAGGGCACAATTTATGCCTCAGACATCAACTCCTCAGGACCCTGGGAATTTACAACACCCTTACAAGAGCAAGGGGGCTTCGCGGTGATACTTGTTAGACAGCCACTAAATAACTTCATATATCGTAAATTCAGCTTCTCATTCCTTGTTCGCCTTACAGCTTTCAGTCACATTCTTGCAAATTCGGTCGATTTGATTAAGGCGCTTGGAGGCCTTGGATGACTGAAGGCTGAGCTTTTGGTGTTGCCGAGAACAAAAAAAAAAAAAAAAAAAAGCCGAATGAAGCCTCTAGAAACACTAAACTCTAGCTGATTCAATTGTTGTGACTTGTTACAAATGACAGTGAGCGATTTAAAACCTTCCGAAATGGCTGCATTGCCTCCAGAAAAGCGACCTATTCGGCATGACTCTTCTCATACGCAAGGAACCATCAGTCTCCAGTCTTCCAAAACCTCCAAGCGCCTTAATCAAATCGACCGGATCCGTGCGAACGGTGTTGGTGACCACATCGCGCTACCACAATTGGTAGTTTGTGGAGACCAGTCCGCAGGGAAAAGTTCAGTCCTCGAAGGAATCAGCGGCTTACCATTTCCTCGACAGGATGGGCTTTGCACTCGATTTGCAACAGAAATCATCCTCCGACATGAACCCACGGATATCAAAACAACTGCAACTATCATACCCCATTCGTCCAGAAGCGATGAAGAAAAACGTCTCCTTAATGCTTATCACCACGTTCTTCACGACTTCGCCGAGCTGCCCAATATCATCGAGCAGGCGGCGAAGCTCATGGGCGTGCGTGGCACTGATGCGCAGGCGGAGGGTCCAGCATTTGCAGCCGATGTCCTCAGGCTTGAACTCGTTGGTAATACGGGCCTCCACCTTACCATCGTTGATCTTCCCGGGCTCATATCAGTCGCGGCGTCTGAAGAAGATGTCCAGATTGTTGAGAAGCTGGTGGACTCCTATCTGCAACACTCTCGGACCATAATCCTTGCAGTCATACCGGCGACCAGCGATGTCGACACCCAGGGCATCATCCAGCGTGCGAGACGGTTCGATGAAGATGGTCTCCGCACCGTCGGAATTATTACCAAGCCAGATCTCATCAACGTCGGCACAGAGGCACGTATCGCTCGGCTTGCCAAGAACTGTGACCGCACCAAACTCACGCTTGGGTTTTTTATCCTGAAAAACCCCAGCCCGACAGAGTTGAAGGCAGGTATGACCACAGAAGAGCGACGCAAGCTAGAACTAGCATATTTGTCCACCGGGGTTTGGAAGGAGCAGGGGCTAGATCCTTCACGCGTTGGAATCGACAAGCTGCGATGTTTTCTGGAAGAAATCCTAGACAGCCACATTGAGCGCGAGCTACCCAAAGTTCGTGAAGATATACGACGTCTTCTCCGGGAGAAAAACGAAGAGCTCGACGAACTTGGAGCGGAACGGGAGTCTCCAAACCAGATACGCATGTTTCTGACAAAAATTGCCACCAATTACTACAATGTCATTCAAGCTGGTGTTGATGGATTTTATGGCGGCCGTGATGCAAGCTTCTTTGAAATACGAGACGGACGACTCTCGGCTCGACTACGTGCCGCTATCTATATAGAAAACGAAAAGTTCTCCGACAATATCCGACAGTATGGTGAATATCGAAAAATCGGCGACCCAGATGCCAGGACAGACGAAGGTGGACAACTTCTTGTGACAGAAGAGGAGATGCTTGACTGGATTCGACAGGTATGATATTCTGCTTGCGGGATGACTTTCCATAATACTGAATCAACACAGGTATATGATCAAACGAGGGGCCAAGAGCTACCGGGTAACTACAACCAAGCTCTCCTTGCGGAGCTATTCCATGTACAATCATCGCGATGGGCTGAAATTGCTCGAGAACATATCGTTGTGATCTCGAAGATCGTATCGCAGTTTGTCAATGGCGCGCTAGAATACGCTATCAAAGATGGGAAGGTTCGTGAAAACATTAGTCGCCTAGTCAGCACCATGTTGGAGGCAAATGTCGACGCAGCGCAACATGAACTCGAAAGAATACTGCAAGATGAAACTCGACAGCCAATCACTTACAATCATTATTACACGGATAACATCCAGAACGCAAGAAACGAAGCCTCGAAGAGCCTTATTGAGGACTCTGTACGTGATGCAATCGCAAGTGATTGGGACGGTACACTTCACTTGCGGAACACAAAAAAGGACAGTGTTAGACTGGTATCATCCCTCAAAAAGCGTCTTATCGTCGACATGAAGGAGCAAGCATGTTCAGAAGCGAAAACAGACTTAGCTGCGTATTACAAGGTTAGTATTAGGTGTTTCGAACGTAATTCGGTCTAACCATCAACTAGGTTGCACGGAAGACGTTCGTGGATAATGTCTGTCGTCAAGTCGTCGAGCGACATATTCTAGCCAAGTTGGCCGATGCATTCAATCCCATGACGGTTAGCTTATATTCGGAAGAGGAGCTTATTAGCTTGGCGATTGAGTCGCCGCAGATTTGCCACCTTCGTTCGGATGCTCGCCAGCTGCAAGCTGCTCTAGAGCAAAGCCTCCGTGATTTAGCAGGATAGGGTGAGTGAGTTGGACTGCTCCGGACTGGTTTTTGCCTCCAAGGTTTTCCCATGTTCACTACGCGAACGCGGGAGCAGATGTATATATTAGGCGGTTTTTGCTGCATTTCTTTCAATCAATAATTACTTCATCTGTTTTTGGTACACTCATGTCGAGCGCGTTCCACTCTAATTCATTCATAATTTAGTATTCTTTTAAAACGAAATTCCTAGAAAGACTGCGGGCTTGAAGTCGAAGCCTTAAATTATCATTTTACACTCTCGTGATCAACGAGGTAATCTTACTGTACTTTGCGCGAACTCGTCCAAGGTATAATAATAGATTCAAGGCTCAAAGGTATCCTAATGCAGACTAGTGTCCTTTGGATGGGGCCAGGGAAATAGAGACAGAGAGATTGGTGGTAAAGCTGATTTGGAATATAATCAGACGGCCATCCTGGGCTAAAGGAGTCATGAGGTTTGGGCCATAACTTGGTCGTTCGTAAAGTGTGGATTGATCCGTTCCCGCGGTGGGTAGAATTTGGTCAAGGACACCATGATGAGTGGAGAATGCCTGACAATAGAGAGCTTCTAGGAGGTTCAACCTGATTTTTATCCAACCATCATCCTCACGGTTCTCAACTTTCCAGAGTTGGATGAAATTTGCGGATCGACAGCTATAACCCAGCCATATCAAAATACGAAAAGTAAACGGCACTGCCAATTGGGAAATTTGACGACCAAAGAAGATGAACATCCCGTAGATGACACTCGAGATCAAGTAGGGGCAGCCATGACCACGCGTGGTTGATCGGAGAGAGAGGCTGGGAGGAAGGTTTGTTTTGAAGAAGAGACGTGGGAGTCCAAGTATTTAAAGAGTTTTGCGGAGGCAAGAGTGACGGAGCACTAGAGAATGTATGTTATTTACTTCAAAAGTTTCAATATGTATAATGTAGGTAAGCATGAGCTTATGGTGGATAGTTCCTACCTTGATCATGCACTTCCAATCTTTATATCAGTGGTATATATCGACTTGATCCATGTCTGATTTGATGGTTGTAGTGAGTCCACATATATTATCTGTAGGAAATGGGGACAAGATTTGTACAGAAAGAGAAGGGAATGTCTATAGCTGATATTTATGTAATTTTCCAGTGGTCCACTTGGGCACATTTCTTTGTTGTATGGGCCTTTGATAGACGCTTACCCCCACGAGATATATTACTAAGGGGGATATTCCTACCTAGTTTTCCTGGCATCTACACGTCTATTTCAAAGCAAGTATCCTAGGTCAGCGCTCGATATCAACTTTCCACTTAGACACTATACTATTGTACACTCCTCAGAGTATTTCCATCTTAGCATACATCTGTATCGTTTTGTATACAATACCTTACACTGAATATTACATGGCTCAGGCTTAGTTAGGATCTGTGCGCGTGCAAAGCTTAATTCTGTTTTTATTTCAATTTGGTACCTGCTAGTAAGTTTCAATGTTTTGTTTTGTTTCTTACTTGGTTTTTTAATTTGATAATATGCTTCGAATACAAATAGTATTCTCCCGGAAACTTCCAGCTTCACTAAACATAAAATATGGACTACGCTTTAGATATGAACACAGGGCCCACGATTCAAGAAGTATTAGTTTCACCCCAGTATGATGACTGCATGAGATGTCGATTCAGCCGCTCCACTGTCGCTTCACTGACTGAACAATCCAGATAGGTTTTCGGGGGTTTTTTGGGGTTAGATCCTCCCTATATCCAATCATAGCGGACATCAACGAAATCTTACCATAAGCTAGCGCGAGCAACACGGCACAGGGTCTTAGCTCATAGGGCCCCGGCCAGCCCTGTAAACGAGTGAACGAATTGGCCATCTGAAAAGAAATTAAGTTATTGTTGTAAGGAGTAGTCCTTTGAATCTTAAAAATGCTTGATTGTCTCCCTTTTGAAATTTCTGTTGATCTTTCTGTCCATCAACGCTATATGTGCGATGGCCAACCACACTCTTTCACAGTGTACCGATCCAAAATATGTTTTCCAGTCCTTTGATAATCTCGGCAACTGCTACAACGCAGCCGGGGACACATTAGCTATTAACTTCACTAATGTTGTGGAAAAGTGCCTGAACGATTACTGCAAGAACCCATATCCTGACCTAGGTGGCTGTGGGAATTGGCATGGCACGGCATCCCTTCCATTTCTTGTCAGCACCGCGAAGGGCAGCCAATACTTCTGGAACAATGCTACCTGCACTGGGGTCAGTGATGAGGTGAATACAGACATCGGAGGACCTGGCGTGCGTTATTCCAACTCTACCCGAACGAAACATCCATGTTAAATTTACACCATATAGGTCTTTGTCTCCTACTTGATGCAACTGGGAATAATCTTCTATTTCTGGATCCTCCTTCGATCATTTCGCCTCTTCCCACTCCTGATCTCCTTTTGCACCAGAAGAAAGCAATTTTACGACGCGACATCTCCCGCAAACCAAACCAAAGGAAACACCATTCCCAGAATCCGACATTTCTTGAATCAACACGACCGCATCATGAAGACAATCCTCGTCGAGTTCCAAGAAGCTCAATGTTTCTTCATGCTCGCCTCACAATCCGCTATCTTGCTCGCTAAGAAGTCAACTACTATCTTCCAATCCAACACCATGCCCTCCCTCTGGGCAAATAATGGCGTTGCAGGGGTAGTTTCCAGTGCCGGTGTATTGCCCATTGTTATTGGTATGTGGAGTCTCCAGAAGATGCACTTGACAGAGCCCTGGATTTTCCTTTTGTCTGTTACAACCATCATCGTATCTGAGTTTGCGCTGTACTGGACACATGAGACTCCCTCAGTTGGCCAAATCAGTCCCTTTGAATATAACGGATGGCCGGAAAGTTGTGGCGGGTATGCGCCGCCATTGATTTACTGTACGGATCCGACCGTGGAATCTTCCCTAAGGTTGCCGCTTCTCTTATTCTGGGAAGTGCTCAATCCTTATTGCTTGACTGTATTTGGATTGGATGTGATCTTGTGGGTTTGGCCATATGTTGTCAGGATAGTGGATGTTGAGAAAATTTGTCAGAAGACTTGCGCTCGTCTCGGCCCCCGCGATTTCCCCTCCAAAATTCGACGACTGCTCGCTTCGACTTGGGGCGAATGGCTCAAGAGGCTACCTAGTCTTCTCACATTCTGCGTTGAGGCACTTTTTCTCGCAGCCGTGTTTCTGGAATGTATGTGTTTTGCCGAGTTTGGGCACCTCAAGGTGATCGACTTTTCCGGCTGGGGTTTTGGCCAGATTGTGGCGATGGCTATCTGGTTCCCTGTGGCCAGCAAATATGCCTACCTGGTCTTATGTGAGTTGTACACCGTACTTAATATTGAGGTAGCAATCTCTGACTATTTTGGCAGTTGGCACCGAATCTTACTCGCAAGCTCGCATGCCTAAGTCTAATTCCACCAATAACGGTGATATAAGAAAAAAAGAAGCTTATGATGTTGAATTGGCGGCTCTGCAGTCTTCTGATGTTATTGAACACAAGGCCCAAGATGGACAAGAAGCCGATCGACGATGAACCAGACCGGGAAGCTGTTCTTTTGGTACCTATTTTGGCCAATTTCATATAATGAGGCGGTGGGAGATCGAAATAAAGACGAAGTGATTTCAGATGAAGGGATAAAGAGAAGAGAAGAGAAGGGGAGGCGAGAAGGAAGTGAAGAGGAAGTGCGGAAGAAGTGAGGAAGGAGCGAGGAAGATCTGGTCAGAGTAAATGTATCAAGGAGAAGGTAGGCTTTGTCTCATCTTCGTTTATCTTTATAGTTCATTTTGTTATTGGCATTTGTGTTTCATTCTTCTCTTGCGCTCTGCCTCTTATTGCCATAAAATTGAGGAGTCTTAAATAACTGGAAGGTAGAAAAATATTTCTTCATCTTTACTTCTCACAATCAAGTGAATTACGGTCGTTGTATATACACATTTACGTATGGGATAAAGCTTTAGATTAAAAGAACAGTGAGTATTCCTCAGACTGTATAAAGTGAAGCATCTTCAAGATAGCTCAAGATAATTCTCCCCCCGCATAGCAGCATGTATGTAAAAGCGAGCTAAATGGGGTCAATGAATTCATCATCATCAAGATAATTCTCAAATCCATTTAGAAACGCAATGTGCTGTTCAAATACATGGCCCCCCAGTCAATGCGTTGCGTCTTCCCGTACATTGTCCATTCATTTTCCAAACCACCTGAAGTGGTTTCCATCATCAGGTTATGTTTCAAAGTCTTCCCATTTAGCTTCTCTAAGACTAACGCAATTAGGTAAGTGTTATGCTCATTGTTTGAGTAATCTGATAGGTAATGTAAAATCATCACCGTCCTCTGACGATTCATGATCATGAGAACCTTACGATCCCAATCGGGTAGTAATTTCCCGAATGTTTCGGCCTAGTAATTTATATCGACACTCTCTCATTATGCATATTCATAATTGCGGTGTGATAAACCCCTCTCAAAATCCATCCGGGTCGGTTATTCAAAGCCAGGATCCAGAAGATCAGCGCCCAATAGATAACAACTCTAACTCGGGTTTGTTGCCGATACCCCGCAAAGTTATACATATTCAAGTTGACAGCCCTCCATTGCGAGCACTGCCATTAACATCTCTAATTAAACAATGCAAACACCCAATATCATTGAAGTTCGACAGTACCGCCTGTTCCCAACGAATCTCGTCCCAAACTCACCGAGACCTTTATTACATTACAAGAATGTCCTCGCTAGGAGACCCAGCAGCTCTCATTGCGACCCAGCCGACGTCTGGGACATGTTCAATCAGAATGGGTGGAATGTGCAGTGGATATTCCGATACGGTGAAACACAACTGTCACACTACCACTCCAAGGCGCACGAGTGCATGGCAGTTCTCTCGGGTACCGCCAAGATTAGATTCGGTGTAGCGGACACATCCGATGATCTGTTTGAGAATACACACGGATCTTCTTGGGAGGAAGGCGGGATTGAACTGGAAGCCGAAGCTGGCGACGTTTTTATCATTCCTGCTGGTGTCGCGCACAAGACATATGACGCGAAGCCTGAAGCAGAGTTCAAGCTCTTAACACCAGGGACTGGACATGGTATTGAGGCCAATGACCCGAGGAAAGCGTTGGATGATATTCAGTTATCTGGCTACACCATGATGGGAGCTTATAACGGTGGTGACTGGGATTTTGTCAAAAGCGGGGGAGACTTTGAGAAAGTATGGGCTGTTCCGAAGCCGAGTCTTGATCCTGTATTTGGAAAGTCCGAGCGAGGTCTTTGTAGGACATGGCGGGGAAGTGGCACTGCGTCTGCCCGTCTGTAAGCTGTGTTCATAGCCGCTGCATAGTATACGAAAAGAGTACTTTCCTTGTTACATATAGGATAGTTCTCTGTATGAAATATGGTTTTCTCCCTTTATATACATCAAGAAAGACACCAAAAAAGGACATCCAAACAATAACAGAGTGTTATTATCTACTGCGTGCCCAATGTGATCTCAGGTAAAATATACAAGACCATTACGGTCGACAATTAAAGGCTTCTGTCGTCAAGGACAGAGGCCATGCGAGGCTTAATGCTCTTGTTTTCATTGTAGAAAAAGCCTTTGCATTTGCATAAAGGTAGAGGGAAACCTAACTGAATAGGAAAAACCTCAACCAAGGCAAGGAAAAAACCGTGTGAATTCTAGAAGCCCAATCATTCAACAGGGAAGATCGATAATATCGTTGCTCAAACATCAAGGTCCAGATCCGCATCCCCATCCGTTGCAAATTCCATAATTGCACCAAGACCATTATAAAGAAACTGGGTGTGCCCGCTTTGCTCTCCATCTTCACTATTAGCTGGCGTACGCCCTGCTATCGCAAAGGTTGTAAAGATAACCGCAGAGAGGATAGGGAAGAACTTCATATTGAGGGATGTTTGCCTTCTCAGCGGGAATAACGTGAAAAGATGAAGAAAATCGAAAGATATATTTCAGTGCACATGCTACATTGTATACCCCTTCCGGCTTGATGTTTTCGGATGATCTTCCTCAGGGCTCCCCTCGGGGTTCCAAGGTTGACTCCAAACATGACTAAGCGGCTTCAGGCGCGCCCGCGGGGAGAGATAAAAAAAAATTGCGATAACAATCCCCCACAGTATATGGAGTCCCTCATTTTACGAATTCACGACTTGTTTTGTGCTTTTTATGATACCTGATCTAGCATGACCATCCGAAATCCTCTTCCACTCTCCGATGAGTGGAGGGATCCAGACGAATATGTCCAGGCTCTCCTCTCCTTCGCAACTGAATCGGTCATCTTCATGAACCTTTGCGGTGGCGTACATATCCTCGATTTCTTGACGCGCGATCCCGATCTATATGAGTCACTACTCCCAGAAGACTGGCGATCATTCTTTGAACATCACGACATCCACAGCATCTTGCAACTGCTACTACGAGAGGACATTAGCCCGCTGTGCGAACCCTCCGAAACAGACACAGGCTCCGAGAATGGCAGGACTTGGAACGGAGGCGCGTTCCCGCCTGCAAGCCTTCTAGAGTACATCCGCGACATTCGACGTTTTAGCTTCGACCGCGAGTTCACCACACCCGAGAACAGTCAACCTCTCCCAAGCCACATTGCTATGGGCATGAACAAGAAGAAGAAACACGAGGTGGAGCAATTCTCTCGCTATGTCGCCTCTTTGTCGGACACGGTCAATGAACGTCGCGGGGAACCATTGTCTCACATTGTTGATTTTGGTTCAGGACAAAACTACCTGGGGCGCATGCTGGCAAGCTCGCCCTATCATAAACATATCATTGCCATTGAGCGAAAGCATCAATACATCAGCGGTGCTGGTCGCATGGATGTTCATGCTCGACTGGCTAAGGAGGAAAAGAAAAAGACAATGCATAACGCAAAGCTGAATAAGTTGAAGAAGCAATGCATGGACTGTACCGACACCCCAGAACTAGCCCCGAACTCAACCACTTCAGAGAAGCCTGAAGTTCCTGGATTGGACGTGGAAGCACAACCGGAACCGAGTAAAACGGTGCCAGAAGAACCTGCTGGGCAGGATGAAGACATCGAGGTCTTTAACATGCTAGGCGATATGACCCTAGAAGCTGATGATGTGCTCAGCTCGAAGGACAAGCCACACGTACTGCATGTACCAAAGGCACGACCGGAGGTCGATACGAGAGGCACTGTCAGCTACATTGAACATAATATCCAAGATGGCTACCTAGAACCGATCATCGAGCATGTCGTGGACCCAAAGACATCAGTTGAGACCCGGACCAGCACCGAAGAAGTCATCATTCAACCAGCAGAAAAGAAACAGAGTGACGCCCGGGTGATGGTCGTCTCTCTACATTCATGCGGAAACCTTGTCCACCACGGACTCCGCTCACTAGTTCTCAACCCTTCTGTTGTAGCAATCGCCATGATCGGCTGCTGCTACAATATGGTGACAGAACGATTGGGACCAGCAACATACAAAATCCCCATCCTTCGATCCGCCCACCCCCGCCTGAAAAAAACCGGATCTACATGGGATCCCCACGGATTCCCAATGTCCAAGCTCTACGAGAACTACCAAGCAAAGACCACAACAGGCTTCAAGCTCAACATCACAGCCCGTTCAATGGCCCTACAGGCACCCCACAACTGGGGTCGCGCCGACAGCGAAGACTTCTTCACGCGCCATTTCTACCGCGCTTTGCTGCAGCGCGTTCTGCTGGATCGTGACATCATCCCTAAACCCGACGTTCCCGATGACCTCTACAAAGACCACACAGAAAACCCCAATGCCGAGGGTATAGCACTAATCGTGGGATCCTTACGGAAGTCCGCGTTCGAGTCTTTCCCCGCATACGTGCGTGCTGCAACGGTCAAATTGAGCCAGGATCCGATCCGTGGCGAGCTGGTTAAGGAGCGCGTCTGTACCATGTCCGAAGAAGAGTTCCAGCGCTATGAGGCTGATTACCTACACACGCGCAAGAATCTCAGTATTGTGTGGAGCTTGATGGCGTTCAGTTCTCAGGTTGTTGAGGCTGCTATTGTGGTTGATCGCTGGCAGTTCTTGCGCGAGCATGACTCTGTCAAGGAGTGTTGGGTTGAACCGGTATTTGAGTATGGTCAAAGTCCGCGTAATTTGGCTATTATTGGGATTAAGAAATGATCCCTGTTATGGTTTGGTTCTCAGTTGGATTTAGATAGGGCTGGGAGTTTGTACTTTGGGGTCTTGGGGTATTTTGGGTGTCTCAGTACATGACGGGTGGTTTACATTTGAACATACTTGCATAGAACATATCTCTTAGACTGTGGAGATGCCTAACCTAGCAATGTGAACGGCAACTAGGCCACGACAAGTTTTGACGAGGCTCTGGAGCCCATTTCAACCTATATATTGCGATTGACGTCTGCGTTCGGGAAGCGCGGCCTGCTCTATTTCTCCCCAACACATGCACCTCTAGCTATGTGGATGCCTAATTATCATCAGATGGAGTTGTAGCTGTTAGATCTGACACAGTGTCACCGAGACCTTCCTCATAGAATTCCTCGAGCAGTTTGCCGTTGGCAAATACTGGGAACAGTTCCCAAAAGTTCAAGTATCCGATCGCGACAGGGATTGCCCTGCCTACTCAATTACTATCCACGTCTGACGGGTTGCCTGCCGATCAACTCTGAGACACATTGTGGGAAACATACAGGCTATTTTACCACTAGACCATAACAATTTCCTTTTCCCGTGGTATACCTTATTGTGAGGGGCTAGATACTCCGTCGGCCCAATGTGGTGCTCCTCCGTAGAACTTGCATATATCATCTGTATCCGGTCGTCTCATTATTGAGGCTGGTAACCATCTGACCAATACTGGGACTTATGGCGAATTTGAATACGACAAGGATGCATGAACCAATCACCTATAAGCTGGACGGTATAAATTTTTTAGGGATTAAAATAGGATCTCGTTCCTTCTAAAACCCCGTGCGGTTGGGATCTACCTCAGGCCCAATCAAACTGTGTACGTGAACGAGGGTATCGGAAAGAGAATCTTTTGGGAACGAGGCAATTTAGTTTTCCTGGGGCTGAAATATTCACTCAATATCTCTCAGGTTGGGATGTGTGTGGAGCCTGTTTTGAGAAGAAATGAGCACATATTCTCATGATGACAGCGCTTAAGGCGTAATTGAGGCCATTAAAAAGCAGATGGTCGAACTGATCTCGAATTACAGCCTAACAACTTAGACTAGAAGAGCACATTATTACTACTCGCCGCTTTGGCCCTTTGTCTTCATTTGCTTTGCTATATGCTGAACTGAATACACGTTACGGAGTGCCAGAGTTCGAAGAGACTATATCTACTTTCATGACATGACAATGGAGTATCGATAGATCTACAGAGGGTTGCTTTACATTGTCTCATGGTTTGTTTTAATTATATTGAGGTAAGATTTACGTGAATTTATAGCGCATTGCTTCCTTGGGCAGAAGTCCTACCATCAGACCTGTGATAGTGGAATGGTGGCTGCGAGATCCCCCACATGGCAGCGTACAATATCTAACCCCTGCAATTAATCAAAGATCTTAAGAAGAAATATGTCCTACCCCTGCCCTTCATTGATTCAAGTTCATAGGCAAAACGGAATGGTCGCTCGACCCTTGTCCTCTTTCCCGCATCTTTCAAAAGACCGCCTTGCGCTCGGCGTCGTATATTGAAAAACAGCATTATCAAACTTGTGGCTGTGGCACTTTTGTTATCATGGCAGCAATACCTTTTGTGGGCGAATCTAAGGAGTCAGCCAACATCCGGACAACATCGAGGGATAACCAGGCGAACAGGGACACCCACAGCTTAGAAGATAAGAATGAGAGGGAATTGCTTGAGCACCCCGATCAGGTTACCCAGGAAGCGCAAGTTGGAGTCCAAAAAGCCGAAGCTACGGCTTTGGTATGGTCCAAAACTGCCTTGTATGCGACATATGCATGGTAAGTCCAGTCAAGGCCTCGAGGGCTTCTGTGAAATAAATCAATACACTCACCACCCGAATTGGTTGCCAAAGCAAGATGAGACAATAGCTAATGTGAAATACTCACTGCTAGGATCTGGTTGTGTTTCTTCGTGCTGTCTATGCAATCCTCGATTAGCAGCAACGTCATCTACTACGCATATGCAAACTTCGCTTCGGCTCCCCAAATATCCCAGGCATTCATTGTCTCGACAATTATTGGTGGAGTTCTTCAACTTCCTATCGCAAAGACTCTAAATCTATGGGGTCGCGCCGAAGGCTTCCTGGCTTTATTGCTGGTATTCATCTTGGGACTCATTGTGATAGCCTCATGCGATGGTCCCAATGGGTTTGCAGCTGGTTACACCTTGTACTGGATTGGTTATGCTGCTCTGAATTTTATCCTGACGGTCTTCGTTGCCGATGCGTCCGGGCTGCGAAACCGAGCTTTCGTCTACGCATTTATCGGTACACCCACGATATGTACGGCGTTTGTGGGGCCTCTTGTTGCTCAAGCTTTCCTGACCCATTCTACTTGGCGTTGGGCTTACGGCTGTTTCGCTATCATCACCTTTTTCCTCTTTGTGCCTCTTGCTCTCGTGTTCAAATTCTACCAACGCAAGGCCGAGAAGTTGAATCTTTTTATTCGGCTCCCGAGTGGTCGAACGACGGCGCAGTCATTTGTTCATTACTTTCACGAGTTTGATGTTGTTGGCGCTTTCATCCTCATGGCTGCCTTCATCCTATTCCTTCTGCCCTTCAGCCTTGAGACTTATGGTTTTAGCGGGTACTCTTCCGCGACCTTTATCGCCATGGTTGTCATTGGAATCTTGCTATTCCCAGTCTTTGCTGTTTGGGAGCGGTTCTATGCTAGAACCCCTTTCATCAAATGGGAGTTATTCAAAAACCGCACAGTTCTTGGAGCTTGCATCCTGTCGGCCGTGATCTTCTTTAACTACAACACGTGGGATCAGTATTTCTACTATTACGTGCAAGTCGTCTACAACCTTGACACCTCAAAGACGGGATACATGACACAGACATATGGCGTTGGGTCGACCATCTGGGCAGTTTTGTTCGGCATCTGGATTCGCCAAACCAAACATTTCAAGAACGTCTGTCTTTACTTCGGTGCGCCATTAATGCTACTTGGCGCGGGTCTTATGATTCACTTCCGAGGCTCCCAAAGTAATGTCGGATATCTGGTCATGTGTCAAATATTCATTGCGTTTGGCGGTGGCACTCTTGTCATTGGTGATGAGATGGCTGTCATGGCAGCCGCTGATCGAGATAGTGTCCCGTTGATGATTGCTATAATCAGCTTGTCCTCTAGCTTTGGTGGAGCTATTGGTTACGCCGTTGCAGTCGCCATTTATTCCAATACATTCCCCCAGGCCCTACTCAGTGCGCTTCCCGATTCGGCAAAGGCTGAATATGCAGCTATATACGCCGGTGGATCTGCAGCTCAGCTCCTGCACCCCCCTGGTAGTGCGACAAGGAACGCGATCAACTACGCGTGGGCATACAGTCAGAAGTACGAATGCATTGCTGCAGCTGTTCTTCTCATTCTTGCTTTTCCAGCAATTGCCATGTGGACCAATTACAATGTCGACAAAAAGCAAGTGAAAGGAACCGTCATCTAACGTTTGAAGTGCATTTCGAGATATATTGTGGCTGATGCGCGTAATATGACCACCGAATGCGATGCAGATAGGTTTCTTGTCCGAATATTATATACATGTATTCTTCGTATGATTTTACTTTTTTTTAAAAAGTGGATCCATAGGTGCGTTCGCCTTTTTCCTAACAGGTGAGCTCATCTGCCAGCTGAGATGTTTCGATGGAATACAATAGTTCCTTAGCGACATGTGCGAGGACCCAAGGAAGTTGATATGACTTCCCGTTGGCTGAACTGATTTCTAATTACAGATGTGGAGTCTGAATTAGACCTCCGTAAAGCCCACAAAGCCCATCCCCCCCCC